GCAGGCTGGATTGCTGCCACGGCTTATCTGTGTGCTGGATTGCTGCCCAAACCTGTCTGTGCGGGTTTGCTGCCAAGGACCTGTCTGTCTGTTAATTAAATGCCATAACTTATCTTTGGCTCGGAGTGTGTGTTGGTGTGGGACGAGGGGGGGTCAGAACACTTATGTATTTAGAAATGTAAAAAAGATTCTGTGCTATATTAAATCAGGAAAAAAAACAAATGATATATTTATATACTATTAGTTTTAAAAAATATGAAGTATACCTGTTGGTGTTTCAGCAGTTCTACCTTTGAGATTACAAATGGGGATATCCTTGCCGAATTCCCTAGAGATTAGGTCCACTATTCTGTTTTATAATTCCCAATGTGCAATCTTGCCTGTTCAATGTTACCCTTAAAACACCAGAAATTCTCGGGGGGAAAGTCAGTTGTTGAACCAGCTGCAAATAGACTAGAAAAGAAACTTTCTCTAAGGAAAGAGAAAAGAAAGAGAAAACAAGGAGGTGTTACAAAAGGAGGAAGGGATGGTAAATAAAGCAACCCAAATTGTACATTATAACTTATTAAATGAAAGAATGTATAAGAATGATAAATGTAAAGAATAACAATTATGTGAATGCATACTTAAAAAGGGTATGTTAAGAGAATAAAAAAATAAAAATTCTTTGAAAAAAAATAAATAAAACTTTTTTTACTGGAAGCCTTCTTCCATTCAGATAGATAGTCTAGTAAACAGATAAATGCATTGTGAAATAATGTATTTTAAAAGGTAGTTTGATGACTTTGGAGACCGTACCACAGTGATTATTTTTCAACCTCATGACCTATAATTTAGTAGCAGAATATTTCATAAACAGAAGTTTTACGTAGAAATATTCAGTTAAATATTAGGTTTAAAACAGAGTGTTGCCCAAATAGTGAGTAATTATGTTAAAGCTAGTAAATTTCGATGAATGAATTGGGCCTGGAAGCTCCATGTAATTTGTGACAAATACAATGGACAGATTTTGGATTAAGGCGGCAGATTAGTCATTGTGCTCTGAACAAAATAAGTTAGAATTCCTTGAAGAGGAGCCAACATTTGTCTTCAAAAGTTATGACTGCCTAATGCCAGCTGGGACAAATATATGCTGGCATCTTTGCTTTTTAAGTTCCTTCTTCAGAGTTAGGTAACTCTGGGTATCTGCTTGCAGCTGTTCACACAGGATGTAAAAGCTGTTTGGTCTGATTCTAGAACGCAATTCTTGTCACTTATTTCATACGTACTGCATTTAGTGATTAGCAACAAAAATAAGACTAGAAAGGGGACAGGAAGGAGCGTTTGCAAAGAACTGAAAGTTTGCCATACAGATCCGTTGAGAATAATCTTAGATTAGAAAATATAATTTATAAAAATTAGTTTATCAGAGGAGGTTTAGGGCTTACAAATGAAACCTGTACCCATACAGTAACAGTAATTTATTGACTGAATCTACTTGATAGTTTCAGTAAAGAAAATGACGTATTCTTGATTTTGGACCTCTGAAAAGGATTGAAAAAAAAACCCTTAATGTTTTAAAGTGAAAGGGGGAGAACAAATGCTCAGAATATATACTGCCAATGAAACTTCTTAAATCAGTTTCATTTTTCCAGCTGAAATGTAATTTTACTCCCAGGAACAATCTTTATTGGTTTTTGCTTATATTTAGGTTTTTTTACAGACAAGACTCCATAATGATGGGAGCTGGCTTCCAGTTTTGTCATGGTAATGTTCAATATCTTTACTGAGCTGTTCAGTTCCTTTTTGACATCTCTTATAAAAACTTCCATTTACATTTAATTTCACTAGTTTCCCCAGCATGTTTTTTTTTTCTGCAATAGATTATCTCACCTTGACCGAGTTTCCTCCAATCAGTATTAAGATATAAAACACAACCTCCAGAATTCCTTCTCACTACATTCGATTCAAAGGTTCTTAGGCTGCCGACAGGTGGTTGTAAGTCAACCAAAATGGGTGAAAAAATTCCTTTTATTGAAACTCATAACTCAAAAAATATAAGATGCTGTAGTGTACAATATGTTACACAAAGCACCCTGAGGTGCACATTCAAGTCAAGTAAGATCATCATCTCCCCACCCACTCCCACCCCACCTTGGTACCCCCAAGTACTTGTTCCATATACAATCATGCACGTTGAATCTGCGAGAGGAAGGCCCTCCCCCATATGATATTCTGTTAATTAGCACCAAAATATCAGTTCTCTCTCTCTCTCTCTCTCTCTTTTAATTTAGTCGGGGAGCTATATTAGCCAATACTGTAGACAGATGTCGTACATTCATGGAACTGAACAGTCTAATCTAACCTCAACAACATGTGCACGGAATCAGATTTAGCATTTCCCCCAAGTCTCTTCTTTCATTCTTCCTTCCTTCCTTTTTTTTTTTAAATAAACACAACTATTTATGAACTTCCCACACAAAGGTGATCTGTTTTTTTTGTTGGAAAAAAGTCTATGAGGGAGGGGGAAAATTTAGATCTTTCGAGAACCACAACTGGCCGCAAGTAATGAAGTTGTTTTAAGGCGTGGTCCCCACAGCCTGTTAACGCCTTGCCCAAAATGGCCCTCAGGTTCTCCAGAGAAGGGAGGGAAGGAGAGTCCGCGGATAAGAGGGGCTGCATTCCTCTCAGGTGCCCATGAGCTTTGGTGCCACTATTTTTCTTGGAAATGGCCGCAGGGGGGACATTTGTATACAAGCCCCTGTCCTGCGACACTTCCCGTCTGGAGTCTTTAGCCTTCTCTATCCCACCACCCATCCCATAGGGTCCAACTGGCTGCCACTCGTTCTCAAGGTCATCGTCCTCGTCATCTTCCTCCTCCTCTTCTCGCTCCTGGCTTTCCTGGATGAACTTCAAAAACGAAGATTCAAAGCCCATGGGCTTGAAAGACTTTAGATCAAAGGGCTTCTGGGCTTTCTCTTTTGGAACAGCAAACGGAAGCTTTTTTGTCTCCTCCTGCGAGGAGGACTGCCAGTCACCAGCATCCTTTTCTCTAGATAACGGCAGGTTCGATTTCGCACAGTAAGAGGCGTTCTCTTGTCCATGATTTCTCAGGATACTCCCGGCCTCAGACTGTTGGGATGACCCTCCTCGATCGCAATCTTCTGAACACCTGGTTTTGGGATGAGGATGGATATGTTTTAAAGTGCCTGAATACACAAGGGCATCCTGGGATTCCTCCCCTTCGGAATACCGACCCAGTTGGCCGCCCTTCTCGTCGCAACTGGAGTTCGGAAGATGCCTCTCCCTTTTGTGCTCGTTTGCAGGGTGCCCTGTGACGTCTGGTGTAAAGTCGGAGTCGCCCTCCGGCTCCGAATTTGCTTCCATGCAGAGGTCATTCAGTGCTGTGCCACAGTCAACACACAGGACAAGCTCATCGTACTGCTGCTCGATATAAGCCCCCGCCATCTGATGGGTGCGCTTATAGTGCCTCACGATGCTGCTTTCCAGTTTGACCACAGAGGGACATCCCCGAACCATGCAAGGGTACTGCGTTTGGTTGCAATTGTCTCTGCACATCTGCAGGGCTTCCACCCTTGTTCTGAAGGCATATAATTGCTTTCCTTTATTTCGGCTGCCGCCCCTTTCGCCTTTTTCGCTGTTCTGCCTCTTCTTCTCACTTCCATCTTGCCTGAGGCACCGATACTTCAAGCACCTTTGCTCCTCTTCTTTGGCTCCTCCCAAGACACCGTCGTAATCGCTGTGCCGAAAATACACGTGCTGGGAATAGCTGCTGTAAGTTGTGAACACTCTGTTACAGCCGTTCAGGTCACAATGGATCTCAATGCCTTTGTTCAGGTCTTCCTTTTCGTGCTCTTCCATCAGGTGGTGCTCTAACTTGTGGAAAGAATAAAATGCAGCCGGACAGTGAGGGTGATGGCAAGGAAACTTTACGGTTTCCGAAAGCACTTTGGAATCGTCTTCAGGATCGAAGGCGTGTGAGTCAACGCAATGCTTCGCCAACGATTTAGAACACAGGAAGCGCTTGCTGCAGGCCTTGTGTTTGCAAACAAAGAGCTTTTTACATTTGGCAAATTCCCTCTTGGTTCTCTCTTTGTCTTTTTCAAGGCAGAGCTGCTCTTTGTTATAGCGATGCACAGTTCTGTAGTGGCGGATCAGCCCTTTCTGATTGGTGAATGCCGAATTGCAATTCCGGTGGATGCAGTGGAACGGTTTGTGGTACTTATGCAAAATGTAGCATAAATTCCCTTTGGCAACGGTTCTTTTACTTCCCCTCCCTTCATTGGCTTCCAGTTCTTTTCGGTGGCTGTCCAGCGATGATAATTTAGCTTGCTTTCCAGGGATGCAGCTTTCTGCCTCTTCGCTTGAGTCCAAGTCGCTGTCGGAACTGAAGTCCTCCTTGGAATGGCAGTGTTGATCCACCGCCAGCTTCGTTTTGCTGTCGAGTTCTCCATCTGTGCTGGTGTAGAAAGCAGACATGGAATCTTCTGTGCTGTTCAGCCTATCCTCGCCACATTCATTCAGATCCTCAAAGCTTTCATTTGCAAAGAGTTTCTGGCTAACCGACATGTTGCCAAGCTTATGCTTGTTCCTGTAATGAACCCGAAGATGCGTTTTTCTTGTAAAGGATCTTTGGCAAATATGACATTTGAAAGGTGAATAGCGATGTTGGAACATGTTCAGCTGGAGCACCATCTCTTTCGAATAATTATGTTTTCTAACATAATGGGTCAGCAGTGCCTCTCTGGTCACAAATTCACACGTGCAGCCTTGACGCTCGCAGAAAAATGGCTTGGCAGCCAACTGGGTCAAGTACTGAGTCGGGAGCTTGCTTCTCTGTTCTTCGGTGAAATGGTCCGAGGTAGATTCATCTTCAGAGTTGGGGCACTTGGAGGAATAGGACTGCAAGAATCTGGGAGAAGTGTGACCGCTGGAATTCTTTAAACTTAAGTGCTTCAAGCCCAGGAGAAGTTCAAACATGCTGTCTTCGGTACTTGACATTTTTGAATGTACATAGAAGGAGCTTTCTGGGGAAGAAGGGCACAGTTCTTCCTTAAAACAGCTTCTGCTTTTACAGACATCACTAAAATCTGCAACGTCCTGAGAGTCTGAGCTATTCTCTCCCGCAGGGCTCTCCAGCTGACTGATATCTTTATCTTTCCTTCTTGGTTTGAAATGGTAGGGATGGACCCTTCGCAGATGCTTCTGCATCCCCTTTGAATTTTTGTAGGTTGATCCGCAGCCTTCAAAACCACAGGTGAACTTTTTCCCATCAAAGTAAACAGCCACGTTAGAGTAGCGCTCTTTCAGATTGGAGGGAAGGCAGGCTCTCTCCTGAGGTAGCACAGCCCCTGAAAAGGCCTGGCCCCGATCCACGGTGTCAGTCACCGAGGACACCTGATTCTCATTGGCCAGGGATGAAGCGTGATTTTCCAAGCTGCCGTTATTTTGGCCACCCTCTTCTCCGTCAGAAAGTGGTTCTTGCTTCACGCCCAGCATTCCTTCTCTCTCTGTTGATCCAGAAGGCAAACTAAGATTTTCCTGCTGCTCAGGAGGTCCTTTGTTTTCTAACGCCTCCGAATCCAAAGGGCAGGCGAGCCCGTCCTGAGAAACGTTACCTTCATGCTTTATGGACGCCTCCTTCATTTCACCGTTTGACATATGCACGGAGAGATGATTCGTTAATTCGGTTTTGGAATAGTAGAACTTCTTACAACCGCGGAAACTACAGGTATAAGAGGCGTCGCGGAAATGCTGGGCTTCGTGATGGTACAGCTGTCCCAGGTCGCTGAAAACGATGTTGCAGCCATTCAGCTCGCACTTGTAACGCAGGTCGTCATGCTGCTGCTTGTGATGGAGCAGCTCGTTCACTGAGCCAAACCGAGCGTAACAGCCCACGGAGACGCACATGTAAGGCAGAGGGCCGATGTGGACTTGTTCGTGCTCATGCAGGTGGAAGGCAGACATGAAATGCCGCCGGCAGTAGGAGCACTTCTCGCGCCGGTTTTTCATGTCCAAGTAGTGCATTGCGTTCTCGTCATTGTTTTGGTGCTCAGCTTTTAGGTGAACACTTAAGTACTTGAACTGCTTGAACACTCTGGAGCAATCCGTGCCCGGGCAGGGGTACAGGTCTTGGTCTTGCAGGTGACAGTTTTCTAGCTTGCTAAATGTTACGTAGTCCTGTGGGTCACTTCTGGGCTTTTCACAATGGATGATTTTGAGAGGGCGATTTCCATCGAGAGTGATTCTGGAGAGGTTGCTCTGGGCCGCCAGCCATCGTTTCTTCTGCAGCAATTTCTTCTCTGCCCGGCATTTTCTACTGGGCGGCTTGGCGCCTTTGCTGCAGATCCGGGTCTTGGCAGCTCCCATGATACAAAGTGCCCCGCCAGGGCACTTTGCATTGTGGGAGCCGCCAAGACCCGGATCTGCAGCAAAGGCGCCAAGCCGCCCAGTAGAAAATGCCGGGCAGAGAAGAAATTGCTGCAGAAGAAACGATGGCTGGCGGCCCAGAGCAACCTCTCCAAAAAAACCCTCGACGGAAACAGCCCTCTCAAAATCATCTGTTGTGAAAAGCCCAGAAGTGACCCACAGGACTACGTAGCGTTTAGCAAGCTAGAAAACTGTCACCTGCAAGACCGAGACCTGTACCCCTGCCCGGGCACGGATTGCTCCAGAGTGTTCAAGCAGTTCAAGTACTTAAGTGTTCACCTAAAAGCTGAGCACCAAAACAATGACGAGAACGCAAC